CCCTGAAAATTGGGGTGAGCTAGCGCTGGACCCCCATACTGAGTCACTTCTACAAATGGTCTATGCCTTACTAAATCAAACGACTCCCTCCCTTGTGGAGGATTGCAGGCTTTGCCTCCAACCTGGACCTCCTCGTACGCTTGCAGTGGTCTCTATGATACAATCACAGTGCTCCTGCTACTATAAAAGATTGCTCGGCCACATTTCCCATCCATGTCCAGCTCCTTCCAATGTCACTTTCTGGGGCTTGCATGTGGACTCCGCCTACTACTGATAAATCCAGGATAGATGTGGGCTACGTTGATCCTTCTTTCTGTAATTCAAATACAACCAAATCTAATACTCAATGCTGCCCACCTTCTGGAATGGTCTTTGTCTGTGGAGGTGGGAAGGCATATGACTACCTGCCCGCCAAGTGGACAGGCCTTTGTGCCCCAGCCACCTTGATTCCTGATGTGGATATTATTCCCGGGGATGAGGCTCTTCCTGTGCACTCTTTTGATTACATTGGCGGGAGACCCACGAGGACCATACAGATGATTCCTTTACTTGCTGGCTTGGGAATATCTGCAGGTATGGCCACTGGAGCTGCAGGACTAAGCACAGCATTTGAGCTCCACAGACGGCTCTCTGCCCAATTGGTTAGTGACATAAAAGCTGTGTCTAGTACTATCCTTCATCTCCAAAAGCAGCTTGATTCCCTGGCTAATGTAGTCTTATAGAACCGAAGGAGATTAGACTTATTAACAGCCGAAAAGGGAGGCATATGCTTGTTTTTACAGGAAAAGTGCTGTTTTTACGCCAATAGATCAGGAATCGTTCAGGACAAGATCAAAAGGCTTCAGGGGGACTTGGAGAGGAGACAGCAGGACCTCCGGGACAACCCGCTGTGGACTGGCTTAAATGGCTTCTTACCCTATCTCCTCCCCCTGCTTGGGCCTCTACTCCTCCTCCTCCTCCTTATCCTCATGATTAATAAGGTCATGCAATTCATTTCCCAACAGCTAGAGGCAGTAAAACTTCATCAGGTCAAAGTTCATTATCATAGGCTCGGTATTCAGGAGCCAGGCTCCTTGTGACTGTCAATCCTCATACGAGCATCCCTCCCCTGCCCTCTACCTGACCAGCAACAGGCAACTTCTCAGACAAGCTGAGATGACCTAAGACAGGTCTTGCAGTGGTCTTTCAACGAGCTGGATACTTGGTACTCAGGGACAGGTAAAGTTCCCAATGGGGAACCACCTAAGACAGAGGCCGTGATTTCCATGATTTCCGCCGTTCTTACAAAAACAAGAGGGGGCGGGGCATTGGTGGCGCACACCTTTAATCCCAGCACTCGGGAGGCAGAGGCAGGTGGATCTCTGTAAGTTCGAGACCAGCCTGGACTACCAAGTGAGTTCCAGGACAGCCTCCAAAGCCACAGGGAAACCCTGTCTCGAAAAAAAAAAAAAAACAAGAGGGGGAGATGTTGGGCCTAAGAAAGGCTCGGATGCAAGGCCCAGTGTAAGCTCCTGAGCCTGACTTGAGTTTAGGGCTCTGATGTGAGGCCCAGTGTAACCTCCTGAGCCTGGCTAGAGTTTAGCTACCTGTCTCTAACCCGTAACCACGTGGGGGTGACTCACCAGACCTGATGAAAGGTTGCCCCCTGCCTAGCTACCTGCCTGCTTGGTGGAATACTATTGGCCCTTAACTCCTCAAGTCACCTTACCCTATCCCAAGATTCCCATCCCCTACCTCAGCCCTATATAAGTTCCTACCTGTTGGAATAAATCGAGATCCTGCTTCGACAGACACCCGACTCAGAGTGTGTGTGTGTGTGTGTGAGTGTGTGTGTGTCCCCGGTAACTAGTAGGGGGGAGGGTCTGAGTCGTGACACTCACCATCCCTCTCGGCCCCGGAAGAGACCAGCTGGACCACGCCGCCGCCCCTCCCCCCCTGCAGGAAGGACTCTGCACCTTCAGTCATTTGCTTTGGTTTTCCAAGACAGGGTTTCTCTGCGTAGCCCTGGCTGTCCTGGAACTCTCTCTGTAGTCCACCTGCTCCTGCCTCCCAAGTGCTGGCATTAAAGCCATGCGCCACCTCCAGGGCTATCCATCCCTTCAGCACTATGCTCTTGGATGCATTAATTTAACCCTTGTCACGCCACTGTGACCGAGGCCCTGCTGGGTTCTCATTCAGAAGACCCAATAGTTTGCGCACGGGCTTCTGGGGCTGGGTTACCCACGAACCCCAGGTGACTTCAGAACACATATTCTCAGCCAGCAGGCCTGGTGTCTGTTTTAGGGATCCACAGCTACATGTTGGAAAGGGGTACGGCTGTCCACACTTGAAAACCACCTTTTTTTTTCTGCTTTGCTTCAAGTACTCAGCCATCTGCAACAGCTCCCAACAGGCTTCCCGACCATGCAGGTTACAGCGCTCATAACGGTGGCCTCATCTCTCCCCATTCTATACTAGGTCTCCACTGTAAGACCTTCTATTCCAGGTCCCCTCACTACCCACAGTTTCCGTGTCTGTAACAATGTTTCTGCTCCCCCACCACCACTTTTTTTTTTTTTTTTTTTTTTTTTTGGTTTTTCCAGACAGGGTTTCTCTGTATTGTTTTGGAGGCTATCGGTCCAGCCCAGCCTCTAACTCACAGAGATCCGCCTGCCTCTGCCTCCTGAGTGCTGGGATTAAAGGCGTGCACCACCACTGCCCGGCTCCCACCACCACTTTTAACCATCATGCACACCCCACTGCCTGCTGGGAAGAGGAGAGAGCACTATGAGACATGTAACTCTGGAGGTTTCAGGGAGCTGCTCAGATGACCCTCTTATCAGCCTGGAGCTAGTGCCAACAACCGAAGAAGTGGACTTCTTCATTTATTTATTTATTTTTGGAAGGTAACAGAGATGGCTTCTAACCGGGGTACACGCAGGCTGGAACTTCTGTTGAAATAAAGGGTTCACCTGGGCACAATGAAATTTGACTTGCGCCGTTAAGAAATATGTTAAGCCTTACTGATATCTGACGTATGGCCCTGCATCTGCCGGTCCACTCAGTCCCTAATGTCAGGAGGTTTCAAGTCATCATGTATCACTCTGTGTGCTGCAACACGCCCACGGGAAGGACCCTCTCTCCTCTCCTCTCCTCTCCGGGTGGAATTGCGCAACAGGCTTTCTGCTTATTCCCCGTTAGAGTCTGCTACAACTTCCCCTTTAGAGTCTGCTACAACCTCTACCCGTTTACTTGGGAAGGTTGCTTCTTCTAAGTTTGCTATTTGTAGCTAATCTAACACTCATGCAGTAGACAAGATTTCTGCAAATGAACTGAAAATTAAAGTTGATACTGCTAACGGCAGAACTGACTCTTTTACTGTTTCTTTGAACACAATGGAAAAACAGTGAGAATCTGATCAGCCATTCAAGTGTGTGGGGGGAGATAGGCACGAAAAAGCCTACCAGGGAAATGTATCGACCTTTTTCATTGACTTCCCACTTCCTCATGGTCACAATTAACCTTGACATATTAGCTGAGCACAGTAGTAAACCATTATCATTTTTTGTCTTTTTTGTTTGTTTGTTTTTCGAGGCAGGGTTTCTCTGCATTGTTTTGGAGGCTGTCCTGGAACTCTCTCTGTGGACCAGGCTGGTCTCGAACTCACAGATATCCACCTGCCTCTGCCTCTCAAGTGCTGGGATTAAAGGCGTGTGCCACCAACCCCCGGCATTATTTTAGGATGACATCCTCCTTAAAAAGGAACATCTTTTTTTTTTCCTCAAGAGTATGTTGAGTCACTAATACTCATTTGGGTCTTTACAGAATTTCACAACTGCTGACAGTATTTAGAAGTTGCTTTGTAAATTCTTACAAGGAAAACCACATGACACTGATTTTCCTTGCTTCAATATGTTGTTAAACTAAAACATTTTGCCGGGCGGTGGTGACGCACGCCTTTAATCCCAGCACTCGGGAGGCAGAGGCAGGCGGATCTCTGTGAGTTCGAGGCCAGGCTGGACCGACAGCCTCCAAAAACAATACAGAGAAACCCTGTCTCGTAAAACCAAAAAATAAATAAATAAAACTAAAACATATTTCGTAGTCAGCAGTTATGAGAAGGTATTAAGAAATATGGCTGAAGACTAAAAAGGTCTTCCCTTCACGGGAGTCACTTCCCTATTCTATGCCCACGCGCCGTGAAGCACAGCGGTTTCCAACGCGTCCTTTTCAAAAGTGAAGTAACTGAAGGAGCCACCAAGGTTATACCCTCAATAACTCAGTAACAAAATAGGTTTTAGTGCTCAGATCTTGGTTTCTAAATCCTTTCAACAAAAAAATCAGCCAGGTGCCCCTGGAGAAGTGGCTCGTTTCCAGTCTGGGAGGAACGGCCTGCGACGAAGTCACAGTGACCCAGGGCTGCGGATGCGCAGCCATGAAAGCACTACCTGACCCTCAAGAAAGTGGAGACAGCCGACAAGATCATAAATCCTTCAGATTAAATGCTGCAGACCGTGTGAGCCGTGGCTCCAAATAAGAACTCAACCCATTCCAACTAGAGGACGAACCAGCTCGGGGCGAAAACAAAAGCATAAGAATCCTGGTGGCCAACCCGCGCAGGCTCGCAGGACAGTGAAAGGCAGGCTTCCCGGAAGCGGGGTGAGCGGCACCTGCGTTCCGCGCCTAGGGGGCGGAGCGTTGGCGGATGGACCGGGCGGGCCACCGGAAGGGGAGGGTCTTGCGTGGAGGGAGCCTATCGGAAGGAAGGGCGGGGCGGAGCAGCGGCGGAGGGGCGTGGCGCGGGTGGAGGCCGCGGCGGAGAAGCTTGAAAACCTACGGGGCGTTCACGAGGGGCGGAGCTTTCATAGAGGTAGCGCGACGTGAACGGACTGACCGGGTTTAGGCAGAGGGGCGGGGCAAAAGCGGAGAGGCGGGGAGCTGTTTGTGGGCGTGGCTACGGGAGGGCGGGGCGCGCCCGGAGGGGAGGAGCTGGGCAGAGGGGCGGGGTCTCCGGTGGCTTCCCTTGAAGTGACCGAGGACTTTAGAATTCGGCCGGCGTCCTGGGACGGAGCTCGCGCTCCTGGGCTCGGCGGCCCTGGTGCTGGTGGCTGGGGGCGCCTTGGGTGCTGCTCGCAGCCGCAGGTGAGCCGGGGGGCCCGGGCTGCTCTCCGGGCGCCGAGTCCCCGCTCGCTGACCCCGTCACCCTCCCGACGGGAGCCGGCGCCTGCGCCCCTGCTGCAGCCTGGGGACGCTCGGGGCGGGGTGCGGGCGGGAGGAAGACCGGACAGCCGCAGGAACGCGCTGCCCCAGCCGGGTGCAGTCCGTCCCGGCCTCGCCGGAGACTGGGAGTCACGAAGGAAACTCGCACCACGCAGTGCTGAGGTCTAAGACAGGCCGTCTATCCATAGAGTCACAAGGGGTCATCATACCAATCCCCAATCTTTAATAAGGAAGTCAAAAGTCCAGAGACTTTTCCCAGAAGTCACACAGCTGTCTTGAAACAGGCAGGCCCAATCTGTTCTCCTGGATCATTTATTTGTTTCCTTGAAATGCTAATGTAACCACTCATAAAACTGAAGTGAAAGCCCTGTTAAAAATTGGCTACATGTCTCAGTTAGTCCAAGTAGTAACTTGGATCGTATGCATTGTTATCCTGGTTTCTCCCTCGCCCTGCGTCCTGGGCAACCTGGCCCGGTTCCTGCTCCCGACTCCTCTCCTCCTCGGCACCCGCTTGTCACTCCTGGGCCTGGGCCTTCCATTAGGGAACCTTTCCTGGTCGTGGGGCCTCTCTAATCCTCGGGCTCTCCCCCCCCCACCCCAGGACCGCTCTTCTCCAGGCGACCTTCCCTCTCCCCAGGATCCATCTTTGACAGATACCGCTTCTCACTGACAGCTCAAGACTGTCAAAGGCTGCTTGGCTGTGCCGTGCGTGCGTTAGGTGGCTGCGTAAAGACTCTGCATGCAAAAAGAAAAAAAAAAAAGACTCTGCATGCAGAAACCACGTGGAGCCAGGCGGTGGTGTCACACGCCTTTATTCCCAGCACTCGGGAGGCAGAGGCAGGAGGATCTCTGTGAATTCGAGGCCAGGCTGGACCGACAGCCTCCAAAACAATACAGAGAAACCCTGTCTCGTAAAACCAAATAAATAAATAAATAAATAAATAAATAATAAATAAATAAATAATAAAAGAAACCACGTGGAGCTGGGCCGCACAGAGCTGGGCCAACAGCAGCTCCAAGGCTCTGGTTTCAAGGGCCCCAACTCTAAACCTTGTCCTAAACCGCTCCCTTTCTCTCTATACCTGTAACCCTGTTCTCGTTCCTTTTCTGCTCCTGATGGGTTCACGCCCACCCCTCCCTGCGCTCCCTTTCCCAGTAAACTCCACGCGGTTTCGTTGAGTTTGGTGAATCGTGTTTCATTGCCCAAAACTGCAGCAAAGAACAATATTCATAGTACATCTCAAAGAAATACATTTTTAGCTAACCATGTTGGTGAATAGAAAATGTATTTGAAACTTAATTCATTCAGTGTTCTTTTTTTCCTCGATTAAAAGAGATGAGATGGAGAACTTGTTAAATTGCCTGGGTGTCAACATTTTACAGGGACTGAATGTGAATTCCTTTTACTGAACGCAAATATTTTTGTCAAAATGAAGTTTCGTGTAAGAGCCGAAACAGGAAAGAGCACTTCTTCATGGACTGAGGTTGACCCATTTATTCCGTTTCTCAGAGCTAAGAAGAGTTTGCTGGCTGCATTGTAGTTCACACCACGTCTAGTGTCCTTCCAAAAATTCCTTTGTTTATAGAGATGATCAAAATGCTGAACTATTTTATATGATGAAGTTTTATGATAGTTTAGAAGTTTATGATGTTTCATAATTATTAAGACAAAGCATTGGGTAGGGATGAGTAACTGAACACTTGTCTAGCACGCACACACACACACACACACAAAAGAATAACAGTACTTACAGAATCAAGTCATTTACTTTGTAATTTTTGTCTTAATACTAATGGAAACTAATTCTACTTAGAAGTTAAAATTTGTATAGGATTGCTGGGCGTTGGTTGCATATGCCTTTAATCCCAGCACTTGGGATGCAGAGATAGGTGGATCTCTGTAAGTTCAAAGTCAGCTTGGTCTACAGAGCAAGCTCCAGGACAGGATCCAAAGCAATACAGAGAAACCCTGTCTCCGGAAAAACAAAGCAAAAATTGTATAGTGTCATACATGCTGTTTACTTGCCTGTAATGCTCATGTAGTTGCTAGCAGAGCGGTTGGTACCCAAAGCGTACCCCTGCGGATGGAATGTCAAAGATGAAAACAGCCTGAAATACTTAGTCGCTGCCAACCTTGCTGATAATTAAGGTCGAGGTAGGAGCTGGCTCGTGATTTTAATTATAAGTTTAGTATGTTTGTCTCTTAAACTCAAACAAGATAAGCCAGGCAGTGATGGAGCACTACTTTAATCTCCGCACTCGGGAGGCAGAGGCAGGTAAATCTCTGAGTTCGAGACCAGCCTGGTCTACAAAGTGAGTTCCAGGACAGGCTCCAAAGCTACAGGGTAAAACCCTGTCTCAGAAAACAAAACAAACAAAATCAAACAAGATAAAGGTGTTTCTGTCTCACTGGTTTAAAAATATGTTTAATGGATTCTCTGGCTTCCAGAGGCAAGCAAGATGCCTGTGCCGGAAAACATAGACGTGGATGCCCTTGGTGAGAGCTATGTTCTGAAATGGGACTGTGCGCCTGCAGACGTGAGCTTCCGAGCGCAGTGGCTCCCTTCCCTGCGTGTCCTCACCCAGTCTGCTTCAATGTGCGTGCACGCTCCTTCTGTGTGTGACTGAATGAGAGGCGGGAGGGATGCCTTGGGAAGCCAGGAATCTGTAACCCGTGCTGTGCTGACTGACTAGCTGCAGACCCTCAAGGGTATTAAGGCTTCTCCCTTAATCTCTTGTTGACATCTCCAGGGGTTCTTACTGGCTCTTTTAAGTGTAAGAAGCTGTGCCTTTGTTTCCCGTTTGACTCTAACTCCGACCCAGTCAGTCTTCAGCACTCAAGTCTGTGAGATTATCTGCCCATCCACTCCCTCTCCATCAGCTCAGCAAGCTAACCTCAGGTGCTTATTCTAGTGGTTCTGACCATGTTTGTTACTGAGGACTTGAGTGGGAATTTAGAAGGAACAGGATTGTGTGTGGCTGGGTAGGGCTGCACCTACTATAGATGGAGTCCTCCGGGAATGACATGGAACTGTGCCTCTTCATACTGAGACTCTGTGAGACAATGGAGAGGGGAAACAGAGAGGAAGGCAGCATGGGCACAGACAGGAGAGACAAGAGAAGGACGCCCGCCAATGGCCGGGAAGAGAGAGAGTGTGCGGATGGGAAGTTAAGGGACACGAAGGAGAGAGAAGGTGGGGGTGGAGTGCGTGAGTGCTGCTGCTGCTCATCCAGAGGACCCAGGTTCGGGTCCCAGCACCCGCACTCACGGCAGCCCACAGCTGTCTGTAGCTCCAGTTCCAGGACACCCACCACCCTCACACAGGCAAAACACCAGTGCACATAAATTGAAAAAAGAAAGAAAGGAAGAAGGAAGGAAGGAAGAAGGAAGAAGGAAGGAATTAGGGTTGAGGACATAGCTCAGTCCACAAAGGGAAGCCACAGAACCCTTGTAAGGGGCGCTGGCACATACTTACAGCCCGGTGGAACCGTCCAGTTTCTGAGGCTCTGACTAGGTAGCTTAGCCTAGTTCTTACATTGCAGGCCAGTGAGAGACCCTGTCTCAAAAACAAGGTGTGGACTGCACATGAGAAAGGACATTTAAGGCTGACTTTCTGGTGCCCACATGCTTACACATATGTGTGGGCCAACACATACGCACATAAGAAAACATTTGACAGTGCTATATTGAGGGACTGGGAGATGGCCCCTGTATTCAAATTCGTGCCAGTTCTCCTGCCTGAGCTCCTAAGAGCTGAGGTTATGGGTGTGGTTCACGCATGCCTTTTATCAATTCTTTACTTGAGACTGTAATTCCTCAATTTTGGTATACATTCTTAAAGGCATGCACACATACAATAATAATAATAAATTTATTTTTAAATGTTTTAATACGTTGTGATGGCTTTTCTTGGTTGTCAACTACATCTGGAATTATCAAAAACCCACAAGTCTGGGTAACCTGTGAGGGTTTTTTTCTTGATTGAATTGTTTGAAGTGGGAAGATAGGAAACCAAAACAGGAGCCACATTGTTATGAGGTCTCCACACTTTACAAGACAGGAGCCACATTGTTATGAAGTCTCCACACTTTACAAGAATAAGTTTCTGTTTCCTAAGCCTACTGTAGCCTGTCAGCCATGGCTTCCAACTTATGCCGAATTTGTGACCCCATGATGTATGCCCACCCCTTGGCCTTAGTAAAACTCCTGAGCATCCATCCACAGGACATGTTCTTGTACTTAGGCACCCCACATGCAGCCTTGAGCCCTGAGGCCCCCTCTCTTCTGTCCAGGTGCTGGCAGCCAATCATCCCAACAGCTGTTTTCTACCACCCAACCCTTCCCCCTAAAAGGGATCTCAAAAGCCACTCTCTGGAACCCTAGTTTGGGGGGGGGGGTAGTCGTCTGGCGAGTCATAGAAATGGTTATTCTCAGTTCTAACAATACCCATCCTAAGTCCCCGTCTTCCGGTGGGAAAATCCACCTTTGACCTGGGCCACACCTTCCAGTGGCAACTATGTGAGGACACGGGAGAAGGAGGTTTCTCTCTGCCTGCTCTCACTGACAAGTCCTTCACTGCGTTAGAGCCTCCTTCTCCAGGATTCTGGTGTGTACTGAAGACCAGCCAAGACATCCTGGGACTTGCTGCTGGGAGACCGCCATTGTTGGACTAGCTGGACCACAGCCTCTAAGGCTCTCTGACACCCCCATACGTGCAAACATACATACATACGTACATAGATACACACATACATGTATCTGTCCTATGGAGAACCCTGACTAATAAGGATGTCTGTTCCCACATTATGACGAAGTCCACAGTATGTCTTCATCAGTCTTTCCTAACTGCCATCCCTCCTCAGGTTATTGCCATGCCCCCCCCACCAGGGAGTCCCTGTATGTCTGTATCAGTTGCCTACACGATCCCGTGAGCAAGTGTCATTGACTCACTTAGGAAATTCCTTTCTGGGAAAACACTTCAAATACTGAAGTTGAAACAAAAAGCCTCCGCAGTGTGACTTTGCACCTTAGACTTGTAACTGCGATGTGGGGAAGGGACGCTTGGCTGAGATTGGAGGGGGCGGGGGGGGGCTTTTGAACCTTTTTTTATTTTTTTGAAAGATTTATTTATTATTCACACAGTGTTCTGCCTGCATGTATGCCTGCAGGCCAGAAGAAGGCACCAGGTCTCATTACAGATGGTTGTGAGCCACCATGTGGGTGCTGGGAATTGAACTCAGAACCTCTGGAAGGGCAGCCAGTGCTCTTAACCCCTGAGCCATCTCTCCAGCCGGGCTTTCGAGCCTTTATGACTGTGTGTAGCACAAAGCATATCCACAGTTTTTTGTGTTTTGTATGTTAGAGTTCTGGGGGACTAGCCTCTGGACTGAAGTTTGCGTTTGTTTGCTATCTGTGCTACTAGTGCGTGGCAATCGGGACAGGTTGTGGTGGTCTGGTCGGTTCTGTCTTCACCATGAGGGTCCCTGAGATTTGTTCCAGATCATTGGCCCTTAGGCAAGTGCTTTCCTAAAGATGAAGATCTTGCCAAACCCCAGCTTGCTTCTGAACACTTGACACAGCCTGGAGTCATCTGAAAGGAAGCCCGGCTTGAGAAGGGTGCAGATAGGATGGGGGCCATTATAAGTCAAATCACTACAGGGACTTCCCTACAGACTAGGTCTTCAATGGCCTAAGTCTTCGTTCCTGGTTTTGGCAGGTGTTGGGGTGTGCATACTGGGTCCCAAGGT